GCACACACACACGCTCATCCACAGTTACCCAGGTCCTTCCCAACTAGGCTGCCAGGCACTAGCTAGAGGGACAGAAGCCGCCAAATCTGGATCCAAAGATGACTCAGACAATTCAGAGTGGGCGGGCTTTGGGATCCCTTTTATCCCCAGAAGTCTTTGCTTGGTTGATTTACAAGTTGATGGGATTGGGGTGAGGGTTTCCATGTGCGCAGGCCCAACTTCTTTTGGCTGATTCAAGTCCTTTGTTTCCTTAACGACTTGCTTCCTTCTTATCTACCTCCCCGAAGGGATCTCATAGACAAGGTTCCTGGCTTTTGTCTTCTGCTTACATGCCTGCTCCATCTTTAGCTTATGGCAGCTTCAGCCTAGTCTCACACCACCCCAAGCATTTAGAACTACCTTCTAGGCAAAATCTTTCCTACTGCTATTGAACATTGACCAAATTTAGGCTCTTCTCTGTGATAGTGATTTTGCTATTGCCAACAATATTTAGATTTTAGGGAGTCTTAATATATGACTATGTAGTCCTAATCTACATAGTCATCAATATGTAACCAACTTCCTTTCCCCCCCCTTTCTCTTCCCTCCCCCCTACTCATTTTCAACATGTTACAGTGTAGTTATGACTTAAATAGAGATACACTGTATTAGGCTGAAGAAACAGAAACTCAGCCCAAGTAAAACAAGGGTATTGTTAGTTAACGGGTTATCAAGGAAAAAAAGAAGGATGATACAAAACCATAATAGGAGATAACCAAAAGCTAATTACATGTCTTTCAAAAAGGCATGAAGGAGTAGTGATGGGACACTTTAATTACTTCAACATCTGTTGGAAGATAAACTCTGACAAACATGGTCCATCCAGGAAAATAATTGATCTGTGTCTCTGACAGTCCTTCAGTGGGTTTAACAAGGCATGAGGAATCATCTCTGCTTGACTTGATCTTAATCAACAGGGAAAACAAAATAGTAGTGGGACAATTGAGGAAAAATAACATGTAAAGATGAAATTCTTTATATTCAGAAAAATTGAAGCTTAATGTAATCAAAGACTTATCTTGGACTTCAATAGGGTGAATCTGAATAACCTCAAAGCAATGATTAGTAGGAATTCATGGTGAGAGAAACTGAAGCCCAAGATGGACTCCACAAAAGAAATACTAAAAGCACAGTCACAAACAATTTGGGGGGGGGGGGAAGAGCGGGGGAAAGGAAGATGGCAGAAGAAGCCAGTGTGGCTGCACAAAAAGTTTAGTGAAAATGTGAAAATGAAAAATGGAGCTAATGGAGGTGGACAGATGGTCAGGTCACCAAGGAAAAGCACATAAAAGTACCCTGTATTTGTAGAGCTAATGTCAGGAAAGTTAAAGCTCAGAATGAGTGGAGATTGATGAAGGATGCTAAGAACCACAAATAGGACCTATTTAAATATCACAGGAGCATGCTAACCAATAATGAAGAAAAGGCAGAGTTGTCAGTTCCTAATCTGGTTCAGCTTCTCTATACAGGAACTATTTTTTGTTAACCACTCTTCTTTTCATATCCAGGAATGGCGGTGGGCGAAGCGGGATGTTTTGCGCCATAGGCATAGTAGTGGAAATGGTTAAAAGGCAAAACGTCATTGATGTTTTCCATGCAGTAAAAACTTTACGGAACAGTAAGCCTAACATGGTAGAAACACCGGTAAGTTATGTTCTACTAACAACCAAATAAACAAAAGCATGAAAATTACAAAAGTCACCTAAATAAAATCATTCTTCCAAGACTCCAGAAACACGGACTATGATCAATAAATTATCAACATATATCAAAATAATTAGAATACATCAAAAATGCATTAATACTGAATTATAGTTCCATACATATTCCCATGCACTGAATGCATGCTGAAGGTCAAAGTCTTTTGTCACTGCCGAAAGATCTAGGTCTTTGATAAACCTGAAAGATGATGGTTTCACAGTAATCATTGGAAACATCTCTCTCTCCCCCCCCCCCCCCTCTCTCTCTCTAACTTCCTGTCCCAATTTGACTCATAAGACATAGTTTCAGAAAGTTTGGGGTTGCTGTCATCTCTGTGCTAAGAGGAGTCACTGGAGAAGACAATGTAGCTTGTAAAGCAGTGGATCAGCTTTTGGAGAGAAGGAACCAAATTATTTCCTTTTTCCAATGTAGTTACAGCTGGTTTAAGCAAAGAACCAGCCTGGCATTCTAATTTTCCTCAAGAACGTTCCAGGCATTTCTGTGGAATTAAAGTAGGTTGCTGTCGAGATGGCCCACCATTTACTTATGTCTGCTATTGTTTGTCAGCCAAATATGATACATAAAGAACTTCCAATCTTATAGAAGGTATCACCCAGAGTTCATTAAAACTTTAAATGATTCAATGTATTATACCACAGACTCTTACCATTTTTTAAAATTAGATTCAATAGGGAAACCGAAAGAGAGAGATAGAGATAAATGATGGTTATACAAACCCCTAGATATATAATGGTGATTAAGTTAAAGTAAATATTACAAAAGAGAAGAAAGGGGCTAATGACCAAAAAAGGGAGAAAAAGATCCATGTAATATCCATAAGTAACAATATAAAATTAATTAAGTCCTGAAGTTTATAATTAAATCTAGACTTGCACATTTTTAAGCTGCAGACGCTTGAAAATGTAGAAGTTATCGAAATGCGTCAGAACAAAACAAGATTTGCTTATTGCCAGCACTATCTCTGAAACCAATGAATCTGTAGCCTTTGACTATTAAAGGTCATTTTTTTCATCCTTTGAACCCAACTCTGTAACAATCATCTAGATGTGAGGTAAATTGATCTACACAGCCCAGTCTCTGAGATATGGAAACAATCTTGACAAAAGCCATAGAATCCCATATCTACTCTAGCACTTCTGATGTAGGAATTTTTAAAACATGTTGACTTACTTCCTGCAAACTGAAAAGGCATGATTAGCACATTTGCTGAGTATGTGTTTATTTTCCCCAAATATTAGATCATATAAAGGGAAAAGAGTAAAGAATAGGAAGCTGGCGGGGGGGGATCTCTGGGAGTGAGGATGACAAGGCAGAGAGAAAGAACTAGAGTCAGGTTTTGGGCAAGAGAGGGACCTTGTGGCCTTGAACTCCTATCATTCTCAGCCAGTATGAACAAGGGCCAAGTACGACAAGAGTTGAGGTCTAAGTTTAAGACCATCTGGGGAATCACAGATGTTACACCTCTTTTAAGAAAAAATAACTTTCTTTCTTTCTTTCTTTCTTTCTTTCTTTCTTTCTTTCTTTCTTTCTTTCT